TACTGCAGTTGGAAGTTATACATACCTGACTCTTTGTATGCAGTTTGTTTATCATAATATCATGGTCATGTCAGGGTAGGCATCAATGTAGTGTAACTAATAGTCTAGGACTTAAGTACAAGGAAAACCAAGTTGAGACAAAACATGTATTGATTATTATAAACTTTAGAGAATCTCGCTACGAGATTGGTCAATTCGACCGACCTCATAACCATTTTTTACTCGTGCATTTTACAGTGTAACAATAAATTTTAATATTGAAAGTCATGTAGGGATGATCTATGGAAAGCTGTATCATCCTTATATCGTTGTTTGCATTCTTTATGGCACTGCTATCCCTACATCATGTTACATTTACAAAATGTTTTAATTACTTGTTTTGTGAGGTTTTCCCATTTAATGAAAATTATTTGTTTTTTCTATGAATGTGTGTAGTTAAATTTACTATTATGTTTACTGATTTTTTTTTTTTACTCCTTCACTTCATACGTAATATAGGGGGTTGGCTCCCTAAAGACACCGATTTTATAGTGCACAAAGCACTGAGCATTTTACATGTTACGATCATCTAATGTTCATCTGTTATTGGCTGGTAATTTCTGTTTCATCCTGTACTTAAGCTTTTTCTGTTAAAAAAAAAAGCTAACTTTAAGGGGGTAATGATAATATCGTATTACGACTAAGCAATGACATCATGAACTGTCCAGAAACACACAGATTGGATTTAGGTTTAAAATAACGTTAGTGATAAAGTAGTTGCAGAGTTATCTCGACTGAAACAACAAGAACAAAGATGAACAATTTGGTACTTTGGTCACTTTCTGGGTATCTTTGCGATGGTTTCTTTGCCTTGTTTTGGGGCTTGTTGGGTAGAGAAACAAATAAAAGTGAGTGTTGTTGTTGATTTTTAGCGTATATATTTGTATTATGCCTATTTAATACCTTGGCCATCCCTACATATAGAGTCTATGATACAAATGATTCATGTCTGTGTTTGAATGCTCTAACTTCTAAGTAAAACTTTAAATAATCCATAAAATTATTTTTGTTGGTTCCTCCATTGAACAATGCTACATGTAGGTAGTGTGCCCATTTATATCTTGCCAAAATATGTTTCAAAAAATTATTTATAGAACGAAATAAGTAAGAGATTGGAAGACAACGTTTTTGTTTCTGCCATATATTCACAATACAAGGTTAAGGGAGATGTTTTCTAGTTTTAACAGTATTGGAAGTATTCACAGAACTTGTAATGAATCTTGCATATAGGTTTGAACGCCCAAAGTATTCAATATAACCTATTGTGCCATTTTCGTTGATTAATGGGTTCCTTTTTTCGCTCTAATGTGTGTAGCTAGCTTGCGTTGAACAGGAATTAAGGGTAATGTTCAGTTTATTTTTCCTACCGGACACACAGAGTTATCTGCGTGTATCCTGCCTGTTATGTTATCAGATTAATAAAAAGGTAGAAGTTCTTCCTTTGATACATTGTGCAACCAGTGCCTCAAGAAACATGGAGACACGAGTCCCTGCACTGTCGCTTTAAATAGTAAGACTTCATCAAAGAAGTCATTCATTCTTTTCGTAATCACAGAATGTAACCCATCAACTGGACGGGGTGCAGAAAATGAGGATCTTACAAGCAGTTAAACTAAATCAAATATTCATCATGTAGTATGCAAATTACCTAGAAGTTTGACTTGAAGAGCAGATTTAAAAAAATAGGACCAATGACAGTTGTTTCAATGCAATTCAAAGGAGTTCGTCAACAAATAATAATAATTTAAAACATTTAAGGGGTTGGTCGATAAATATTATTTAAAGCATGATTAAAGGGGTCGTCAATATATAGTGGTGGCATTTTAAAACCTAACTAAGGGGTTCATCAATATAAAATAACATTTCAATTATTAAAACATGATTAAGGGGTTCGTCAGTAAATAACTATAACAGTTTAGTGCATGACTCCACTTTTAAGAGTTAACACCCTGTTATTTCTCGAGTTTTTGCACATGTACTAAAAATCGTAAGTTAGAGGTTTAAAGATCAAGAGTCGAAGCTTTAAGAAGGAAAGGGAAGTAGGGATGAAAGCCAGTCATCATTCAGATCGAATTTCAATTAGGTTCTGTCCTGTGGGAGTTGGTTTTTGTCTTTTAATTAAACAGATGTTGTTGTTGTTTATAATTTTGACCTACATTACTTGATCAGAATATACGACCAACTGTTCTTAAATCAATATGTAAATATAGTATTATTTCTACAGTTGATTAACAGGATTCACTCTAATTCTGTTCTCATGTAACAGAAATACGTTGTCACGTATTACATGTTGTCTCAATTTTCTTTTTTGCAGACCGTCAATGTGACATTTTTTGTGAAAATTTCCTCATTGTTTTGGAACTGATTCTTCAGCGTATGTGTGTTGACACATAACACTTTATCAGATGTCGAAAACTTTGAATATGTCAGTGATTCATTTATTATATGAGAGAAGTGTATTAGCGCTAGCTCTGGGCTTTTCCTTGTTAATTTAATATTTCTAGACATACCGTATCAATTTACTGACACACGAAGCTGAGCGCGGCTAAGTGGTTAGCGTGCCGGACTGAAGTCACAGTTCGAGTCCCGTTACCGTCAAAAGAAACGTCGCCTTCCGCACCTTGAAGCAGTGGGCATTATAAGTGTGATAGTCATATCACATTATTCGGTCTGTTATGAGCTGTCGGCGGGTGGTATTGACTAACTACCTTCCCTCTGGTCTATCACTTCACAACTAGGGATGGCTATGCTTAGGTAGCCCTCGTGTAGCTTTGTGCAAAATCCAACAGCCAAATACAATTGTGTACAATACCCAGTAGATACTTTTATGAGACTGATATATTCCAGAAATGTATATAAAAATATTTTGAGATTATAAAGTCTGTGTAATAAATATAAATTTATTATGGACTTGAATGTACAATTGTAAGCTGTTTTGGTGTAAATATGAAATTAAAAACATAAAATATGAACACCAATCAAATTATATGTATATTGTAATTATGTGTGTAAAATTATATTAGCAACAGTTAAACAAAAATAGGAAAATTGAAGTATTAAAGAAGAAAATGCCGAAAGCTAACAAACATTAGTTCGAAGTAAAATAGAAAATGGTGGTATGTTTAATTAAGAACTGGTGCTGGAAGAACAAAACTGCGTGGCCACTAAGTAGAATCGTAAAGTTCAAGTACAACAGCACGTGTTATCTACAGATCTTTGGAGAGAAGGTTGGGTTCATGTCGATAAAGTATCATGAGATATCTGTCTGTGTGACGATTGTGGGTTTCTACAAGTTTCTAAAATTATCGAAAGTAAAAGTTACATAAAAGCTATATAGTAAATTATGGGTGGGGTGGAGGTAAGTACTGTTTCGTAGACTACGTTAAGCCTAATATAATTTAAAAGTTGTGGTTTAGAATTTCTTTTAATTCGACCAGAGTACTTTCAATGATAGCTATATGTATAATATTTTAAACTGGATGTCACAGGAAAAAAAAGAAATATTCTCCACCCAAACGACATCGATTTGAAATAAAGTCTATGACGTCAACTTGTTTCACATTGTGTATTACATGTTTAGTTTCATAAGTCTTACAAATCTAATGGATATTTTCATTGTTTGTATGTTCTTTATTGTAACTTTTACCACTGGTTCAGCATTATGTTCATTAAAATATTGTTGAATTTTTAACCATTATTATATTTCTTACAAGCTCTGTATATAACTCATCACATAGTTAATGCCTGCTTTTCGTATAGTTTTTCAAAGGTCGTTCACCTCGCAAACTTAATCAAGATTCCCTCCCCCTCTTTCTCGGGTCTGTTCGTCTGCCCGCCATTGACACTAATCACTCTGTTCTCTAGTGGCAATCCACGTGGCCAACACGACCACATCTACTCTTGTTAGGCACGTGTTTTGGGGAAGAGACCGTATATTTATTATTCACTAAGCAAGAGGTTTTGTTTATTTTACGTGTACAACAAAGTAATTTTAATTTTCCATAAAAAAATGTTTAGAGAAATGGCATAATATTCCAAGAAGAAAGTTTATTCTGGTCAACGCCAGTAAAGGCTTCAGTTGGAAATCTTGTGTGATACAAATTTATTACATACAATTTGTATTAAAACAAAACAAAGTTTGACATTAGTATTTGTAGTACAAGTGATTTATTCCTTTTTTTTTTTTCTTCTTATAATACTATGTGTATATTTTGTGTATTATGTGTATATTTTGCACAAAACTAAGTAACTGTTATTAAACTGCTTAATTCACTTTTAATTGTCAAATAAATTTCCACATGTAATCTGCAAGTTTTCACTTGATACAAATAGTTTTTAATTTCACTCGACAATCCATGTTTTCTATCGTAATACCCACGTCATAATAACTGACGTAAAAAAAGGTGCTATCATTCATAATCAAAAGAGCCGAGCATAGCCCGTGTCAGGCTGAGGACGGAGGGTCCAAGGTTTTTAGCCGCTGAATACGTCCGGCATTTTCAGTTTTGGGAACGTTATGACAGCGACAATTTTACTATTCGTTTAGCAGCAGCCGCTTCTAAATTAAGGCTATGCTACTGTGCTTTCTGTCTTCAAACAGTGTTATATTTACCTGATGATACACGAAGGATAATCACAATGCTGTATTACCGTTTGATAATGTTCCTTTTGTAAAGCCAAGAAATTCTGCAGTTTGGTTCACCAAAAGTTGTTAATATCGATGGAAATATTATCATTATTATCATAGTCAATGGTTTAAACGCCTCAAATTATCGAAAGTTATTTTTTTATTAGTAGTACAGTAAGTCATGGCTTAATAGGTAAATTTATGAACGATACTTCTAAGGTAGTAATAAAGGTGATAAAATGCAAATATTGGAGAGTAGTCGAATTTAATGATGGCTACATGAGATCGAAAAGCTTTTGTTATGATTCACAATCTTAGTGTGTTCTATTTTCAGGAGTATGATCTCGAGCACAAGATTGACTTGGAAATCAAAATGCGCGAGGGTACTACCAAACTGTTAGCAGCATGTAAACATCCAATGCAGAGTCTGGAAGCAGCAAAATCCTTACTAACATCAAACGAAAGAATGACTGCCTACATGGGCGAACTCCAGCGAAGAAAAACTAACGAAAAAATTGGAAACCCAGAAAGGTATTCTTTTAATAAGAATATGAAAAACAAAACATGGGTCATACTATTTAAAGCGTAAATCAACTGTCTGCTAATGAAATATTCCAGATTTCTTTAAAATTAGTTTTATTAACATTATTGATTATAGTATTTAACATAATTAATAATGTTTGTTCTTATGAATATTATCTTGCATTGTTAGCTTAGCTTATGGATTTAAGATCATCCTAAGCTGGTCAAATCCTAGTCAGTTGTTATTAATATTATGAACTACAATATCCTTAACAAAACAATATGTATCTAACTAATAATTATAAGTTTTGGTTATAAATTAACAATTGTTATATAGAATTGGCTTTATTAAATTTTAATAACTTTTTTTTTTTTTTTTTTTTTTTTTTTTTTTTTATTATGTTACCCTGCTTTGGATAAGAATTTAATAATAATTGTATACACACATCGTCATATGAATGCATCTAAACAACAGTATTTCGTTTTAAAAAATCGTGACAACATCATCTGTTTGCGTAAGCTAACCTAGATAATGCATATCGATTTAAAATCGAACATCGAAATTTAAAACGACTGAAAATTAGGGTGAAACATAAGTCATCCTATTTGTTATGATCCACAATCTAAGTATGTTGTATTTTCCATGCAAGATAATCATCATACGAAGTAACATTATTAATTAATAGTGTTAAATACTATAATCAATAATATTAATTAAACTAACTTTAAATAACAATAGTTCACTCAGTAGAAAGAAAATAACTTTTCGCTTATATATTACTTAGTATATATCAAATAATTAGTTTGACTCGGATTTTGATATTGTTGAAATAGTAGGCGGAATGGCCTTTTGAGTGAAAAGTTTCACAAGTTGTATGTATGTTTATGTAGAATTATTCTTCATGCAGACCCATTATATTCTGTTATTTTAGTGGATATAAAGTATGTCTCATTATGAACTGAACACTATGGCAATGTTAAAATTATAGAATATGTTAAACAATCGCCAAGTTTTTAGCATAGCGACTAGTAGAATGGCTTTTTTTTTCTTTTTTTCAAGTACGAACTTTTAGCTCATAGCTCCATCTCTTGAACAGTTTGAGATTTAATTACAGCCGCAGCTACTGGGGATTCCCTCTTGTTTGTTTTTATTTTCTTCTTCTTTTTTAAGGGATGATATTTCCAGCTAGCGCTCTTTGTCAGATCGTACAGCTGTCAGATTGTAAGCTGTGCGATCTCATGAAGAGCGCTACCTTGAAACATCATCCTCTTAAAATAAAAATATAACAAAATCTTGGCGATTGTTCAACTTATTCTTTAAGTATCTTTGTCGCCTATGCGTGTAACTATTTATTTCTTATTATAAAACTATGGCAATATTAAACAGCACATATTTATCATATATAGGTCCATTGTACTTTTGTCAGTACATTTTATATTCAGTTCCTTATGGTTTTTTCGAGAAGAAGAATGTACAATAGTATTTCAACTACACTATGTCCGCCATATTAGAATGTAATGTTAAAAATATAGTAGGCTTAACATTAATGTTTTATGACAAGTGTAATTAATTATTACAATAATGCTTCACCAGCTTAGAACGCTTGGGAATTACAATCCACCATTAGCTGTCTCGGGACTTTTTTCAATATGTCTCTCTTTTAATTTTTATTAATTTTGTATGCTATTGTATATCGCTGTCTCCTTAGTTAGACTCAGTTTCCGTGTGATAAATCTGTTATTAGATATTGTTGTACACAACAATTTAAAAGTATTAGCGAATAAAATTCTTTTTTTTTTTTTTTTCGTAGCTAGGCTTAGAAGAAAACATTGAACTTTTTGGTTTAATAATTTGTTGGTAGCGTCCTGAAACGAGTTAATTGTTTTGATATTCGGTTATCTGAATAGCGCTTTAAGTTGAAACTATATAAATTCTATTCCAGTTTTTAACCAGCTTAAAAAGTACCGAAAAATAATGATAATAACAACAGAATAGTTGTTAATATTAAAACTAGATACTTTTAATCACAATTCCATATAGGTTGAATGTGGTTAAGGTAGGTATTTAAGTGTTGGTCAGTTAAGACTTTATGACCAAGTTATTCATTTTACTGTCGATTACTGTCACCAGGTTTTTATTTCTTGATAGAGATTGTAAGTCTTGCATGTGGTAATAGACCAAAGTGCGATATTTTAAAGAATAATAATTGATTTAACATTGCCACTAACAGATATTAAAAAAAAATGTACGAATGGCAAAGCATTATGTCTGTTCTATGTTTATTGGATACTTTTGACGTTTAATTCTGACATTTTGTATTCCTTTGGGAATATATATACTTACATTACAAATTTGTTAATTTGCACCACAACACTACTCAAAACTAGTCGAAACTGAATATTCAGATGTACCAGTGTGTTTCAACTCAAAGCCACACAGTAGGCTATCCATTGTCCATCATGTATATGTCAAGCGATGTGATTCCGTAAATATTTTGCTGACCCACTGGACAAAATTTTCATTCGACACAGTTATCTGAATATCCCAACCGATTATTCACCTGCCGAATTGTTTATATATTGAAAACTGAGATGTTGACAAAATGGAAATAAATTACAGCTCGAGTGACATGCAATAACAATGCTTGAACAAAAGATCGTGTAATTCAGATGAATACTGACTGGTATTGTAGTTGGATCTCTCACTTCTTATAACTATCGCTAACATCTTTCTACACAGACCAAGTAATTTTCTGAACAGTTTAGACATGTCTTGAGATGTCCAATGCTTCTTTAATACCTCAAACTCCTGAACTTTAAATAGTAAACAAGGATACCTTAATGAGAAATGAACATTGCAGTGTGCCTTCAAGCCACAGGTGCCAACCTCAGGGGCATATCCAGAATTTTGAAGGGGCTATATTCATAATTTCGCCTTTGTCCACGAGTTTTCGGAAAGCATTTGATCTGTGTACTTAGGGGCGCCTGCTTTACCGATAACATTTTGCACTAATTATAGTAATTATGAAAATGTTGCACTTTACTTAATCTAAGAGACCTAAAGAATGCACCATTTGGCAGAAGTGGAAAAGAATTTAAAATTTATTAATTTTTTTAAAATTGTTTTATATTATCTTCTACAACAAATGTATTAAATATGTAATTAAAGTGTTTAATAAATGAATCATTCATGAATCTTTAATAAAACCAAAGTCAATAATCTAGTTTATTATTTTACTGGTTATTTTCTGTACAATTAAATCATAAAAAATTCTTTACTGGCATATTGGTAATAAAATTCTAACTCTATATAAATAATATTACCAAAATATATAATTTGATAAATATAAAAAGAGTATCGATGTAAATTACCTCTATATATGTAAATGTCCCTATACTAATGCAACTTACTTGTAACTTCTGTTGTCTTGACGATAAACAAGTTCAAGCAGTGGGCAGCCCAGTGGGAATATGAGACTAATGGATAGTTTTTCGGAATGATGGTAGTAGCTCCCCTTGACTGTCCTTCCATGTTCCTATCTCCTTCATAGGCTAGTCCTCGCTGATACCTCAAATCCAGTTATCATCTCTGCAATCGCTTTGTCAGTTACACCATTCTTACATTGTAGAAAATCAACGTTATAACTTTGTTTTTTGTTATTAGGTGTTCGTAAATTTTAGCAACCTCCTTTCTTAATGTGATGTATTGACGTGTGTAGTTGTACTGGATGCACTTCCTCAGAGTCCCCGAAAGTGTTCTGTTTCAAGGCGAAATAAAACCAAAATTACGAGTAACAAATATTTTTATTTCTTGCTTTTGAAGCTCATATGTCAGGCTGTGTTGTAGCGTACAGGATGCATAATTCTTCTCCTGATTCATGGCATGCGCACGTTTTATTGACGTCACAACAGTACAAATTGCAACGTTAAGCGTCCTTTATGTGACGTCATTTTAATGTCTACCGATTATCTGACAGACAACACACTACTGTATACTTGTGCGACTGGTTAAAACAGGTTATCCCCTACCGGCGGCCTTCGGCCCTTTTCGGAGCAATAGTAATACAAAACATAGAATATAGGGCTTATTAACTATTTTTATGACAACTGATTGACTGTTATGTATTAATAAGAAAACAAGACCTTGTGTTAAAATGAATACAAGTTCCTTTACAAATACTAGGGTTACTGATGACTAATTATTTAATAGAGAACTGAATAAAACAGTATTTATTAAACTACTAAAGATCAGGATGAACGCTTAGAAAAATGTATTGCCCACCTACCTATTTTATTAAAATATGACAGTAAGATTCCTTTGATGTAAGAAAGTAGGATTGTATGCTTTGGAAAATATTAAAATTAAACAGAAATATCTACACAAGCACAAAGCATATGTTACTGATAAATTTTTATTCAGTTATTTCTTAAAATCTTTACTGAAACTATTTAACATATTAGTGTCACTATATTCTACATTAAAAATAGTTATTCAGTACTTGATCTTCAGTATGTCGGTTATTTATAACTTCCTATAATACCAATAATTAGGTCATATTGTTCCTGGTAATAACATGAAAATCTCAACTATTTTGCTGATGAATATATATTAATATCCAGCTACATAACCAAATAGGCTGGATACTGAATACGGACTGATCATATGTTGCAGCACTTACCCACAAACATGAATGAGTTAAGGTTAGCACTTGTGTCTCTCGTCTACGTTACAAAATCTACAGTAATGTAGTAATTTAAATTTTTGATATTTTAATTTAGATGTTTCATAAAAAGAGCTGCTAATCGTGATGATGATGCAATATTTAAAAAGTTCATTATTCACTTATCTAATTTCGTTCACGCAATAACAGTTGTTGTTCATGAAAATGAATAATATAAATAGCGCGTAGACCTCCATTATGTCTGTCGTATTCCAGCCAACCTAATGATCCCTGTTATTAGACGAAAAGTCGTGTCGGCAGTGGATGTGGCAGACGAAGCGTGGTCGATGCATTATCACATTCTTCTTGACTGTTACTCAATAAATTCTTAGAATGATTGTAAATTGTTATGAGGCCAGGTGGTTAGGGCGCTCGACTCGCAATCTGTGGGTCGCGGGTTCTAATCCCCGTCACACCAAACATGCTCGCTCTTTCAGCCGTGGAGGCGTTATAATATGACGATCAATCCCACTATTCGTTGGTAAAAGAGTAGCCCAAGAGTTGGCGGTGGGTGGTGATGACTAGCTGCCTTTCCTCTAGTCTTACACTGCAAAATTAAGGACTGCTAGCACAGATAGCCCTCGTGTAGCTTTGCGCGAAATTGCAATAATCGAGATGGTTCGTGAAATATGTTGAAACAAAGTAGCGATGTGTTCAAAGAGTAATCGGTGATTGTTTCAGATAAATGTCAGTAATGAGTGATGTCGCGTTAGTTTTACTCGATCAATTAGCTGTGGAATTCTTTAAATAAGTTAATTTTTGAACTAGACATACAATTAGCGAGAAATTTTATGTTGAAACGTTGTATTTGAACTTGGGCTTACAGCTTCTGGTCAAACAGAGTGAACACAGCCTGTATCCAATGTTATAGAAGAAAAATGAATTTGTCATTATTGTATAAATTGGACTTGGTATTATTTTTACTAAATAATCCAAAAGAACTAACCCAAGAATAGAATAACTTGCAGCAGTGTCAAAAGCATACCGGTTCAGATTCGTCGCTGGAGCAGTAAAATAGAAAGTTATGTAATAGTATTAGTTCAGTAGAATTAATAAACATTTTTGCTCATATCTAACTAACATATCTTCCAGAAATATTGACTTTGAACTGTAACAAAAGTTGTATAAGAATACTAGTAAGG